ACTGTAGCATTTCAAATGCATGTCAATATATTTGGGAAGATTATTTTTAAAAAAATATATTTCAAATATATTTTTCTTTCATATAGGTAGCTTAGGCACCCTAGATCACATGGTCCCTGACAACCAATCATTACAGATTATAGAATCGGAAAGACGCTATCTTTTAGACAGGTATTAGGATGGGAGAAAACAAGCAAAGTAAAAAGGAAACAAATATGGCCTCCGCTATGTACACAGATAATTGCAAATTAAACACAGAAACATGCTCTTTAATATGTTATCTCGTTTACATTAATAATGTTTACATATTTACATAGAGCCAATTTTTTTTTTGCATGCATATCTAAAAACATTAACAAGTTGACATTTTCCCTTTAATTGTTAAAGAGGAGCAGGATGCCCACTATTTTAATTCAGAAGCTGATGTCAGACTAATTGCCTGTATCAACGAAAATAAAATATTATTTCTTCAGCCTGTTGCTTGAACTTTAGAGAAAATGCCTTTTAGATCTGAGATGCAAATTATCTCACCAGTGAAATGGCTCAGTAATCACTGACTGCAGCATGGAGAAAATGATCTGCAACATATGGAGTGTATTCCAAGTAAGTTGTACGCTTCCAAGGCTTGATCAAATCAAAGCAAGTAATCTTTGACCTCTCTGAAAGGTAGGGTTGGCAAAATGTTTCATCAGTAGAGATAAAAGAAGACAAAACAGTCATACTTTCTAAAAATATCATTTTTTTTACAAGTTTATTTTTCACGAAAGTAGATTTATTAGGAGGAGCAAGAAGTGTGAATTAAAGTGTATCTAAAGCTCCATTTTTTTTTCTATTTTATTTTGAATAGAGTGATGATGGGTTAGAACCTTCGGTCAAGTTTTCAATGCTGTGAAAAGATTCACCTTCATGTTTTTCCTGGAGACCATGGTCATTGCCATTGAAAGTAACTTAAAGTGTAACTAAACTGAGCACTACAAACTGAAAATACTATTTAACCTCCCTGGCGGTATGATTATTTCAGATTTTTGGTGCTGAAAGTGGTACCATTATTTTGCATGGAAATTTGGTGTTTTATATTGTAGGCCTGTAATTCTTAGGAATAACTCACTGAAATCTGTCCGAACAAGAGTCTAGTAAACATCCCGGGTAGGATAAAACTTAAAACACGAAATCATAAATTATAATTTAATAAATAATCATAAAAAATAATAATATAATAATAAATTTAATTCAATAATATAATCAAACCAAAAACACTGAAATTTGAAATAGAGCGCTAAGTTCGCACATCACTGAGCAAAGTTGCAACATTGTTTTCATTGTCTGATGACAAATTTCCCCACGAATCATTATCACTCAATTCTGCAAGTGGTTCTGATTTACTATCGCTGTTCTCTAGCCGGTCTAAAACCGCTTTTGACCTAAAGGGACGCTTTTTGGACGCCATGGACTTTTCTCAGTTTCCAGGCAGAAAGAACAGTAAAAATGCAGGCAGGGCACAGGACAAAGCCCTCGGGACAAAATGTATGTGAAATGGTTTGATACAGTAATGTTATACTATGTGATTTTAGTGATTTTAGTGAATGTCACCTTTTGTCATTTTCACATTTCCCGCCGTTCCGTTCCCCGTATGTCCCGACGCTCACAGGGGACGGAACCCAGATGATAGATGCCGGCATCAGCCAGAGGACATTACAGGGGACACTGCAGGAGGGACATCACAGGAGCGCAGGACAAGGTAAGTGATCGAGGGATCACGGAGCAGCGCCGCATGGTAAGCCCGAGTGTAGCTCGGGGTTACCGCTTCTGGTACTGAAACTTTACCCCGAGCTACACTCGGGAATACCGCAAGGGAGGCTACATGATAGGGTGGAAGTGGAACATGTAACATTTTTAGGGTGGAACATGTAACATTTTTAGGTTGGAACATGTAACATTTTTAGGGTGGAACATGTAACATTTTTAGGTGGAACATATTACATTTTTAGGGTGGAACATTTAACATTCTTAGGGTGAAGCATGCAACATGTTCCCATAGACACAGCCACACCGGCCGCCCCTTCTCCCTCTGACGGATAGTATGGGGAGAAGTTTTCCCATACTGTCAGATGTGAAAACAGCGCATCCATGCGGAACTCCGCCCGCACGCCGGCCGCGACACTCACTTACAGTGCTCTGTGAATGAGTGCCTACAAGTCCCAACAGCCTTAGTGACTGTTGGCTTGTAGTTTTCAAAGATTCCTGTCAGAATATCTGCTTGGCCATACATCCCTGTACAGCAAGCAGATATTCTGACAGGTCTTCAGGAGACCTGCATGGCATCAGCCATCTACTGATCACTGGTGCAATGCTTTCCAGGCTCCTTTGAACAAAAATAATAAATGCGCATTTTTTTACCTGCAAAAAAATGTGCATTTATTATTTTTGTTTAAAAGGTGAACTTATCCTTTAATTAGTTTTGAATATTTAAAGCAAACTCCCCCATCCATTCATGTCTTCACGCTTTGTTTTGTTGAGAAACCACTTTGAAAAACATCCCTAGCATGTTTAGTTGCAACCATCTTAACCACTTGACCTCCAGAGGATTTACCCCCCTTAATGACCAGGCCTCTTTTTGCTACTCGGCGCTGCACTAATTCAACTGATAATTGTGCGGTCATGGAATGCTGCACCCAAACAAAATTTATGTCCTTTTTTTCACACAAATATAGCTTTCTTTCGGTGGTATTTGATCACCTGTGCGCTTTTTATTTTTCACGCTATAAACAAAAAAAGGCCAAAGATTTTGAAGAAAAACAATATTATTTTTTACTTTCAGCTATAAAAAATATATAGTAAACTCAAAGTTGGTTATAAATTTAGGCCAAAATGTATTCTGCTCCATGTTTTTGGTAAAAAAATCCCAATAAGTGTATATTGATTGCTTTGTGTGAAAGTTATTTACGCCATTTTTTTGCTATACAGCGCTGCACTAGTTTAACGGACAATTGCGCGGTCATGCAATACGGTACATAAATGAAATTTACATCCTTTTTTTCCCACAAATTGAGCTTTTTTTTGGTGGTATTTGATCGCTGTGTGCGGTTTTTATTTTTTGCGCTATAAAAAAAAAAGGCTGACAGTTTTGAGGAAAAAAAACAATATTTTGGACTTTTTGTTATAAAACATGCTAAAAAAAAAAACCCAATACGTGTAAATTAATTGGTTTACGTGAAAGTTATAGCGTTTACAAATGGCGGGAAAGATACTGGGATTTTTTTTTTTTTTTTTTTATACTAATAATGGTGGCGATCAGCGACTTATGGCGGTGATCAGTGACTTATGGCGGCGATCAGCGACTTATGGCGGGACTTCGGCGGACATTCTGACATTGGGGGGTGCTGACTTGGGGTCACTGACATCCCCAGTGACACCAATACAGTGATCAGTGCAAAACAAAACCACTGACACTGTACTAATGGCATTGGGGAGGAAGGGGTTAAGTTTATTTTTCAGAGAAAAGGGTTAACTGTGTGAGGGGAGTGTTTTACTAGGAGGCGGTGGTGTGTACTGCAGGGAACACCACTGATCGGGAGAGAGAAACTTCTTCTTTCCCGATCAGCGTGCCCTGGAGCTGTCAGGGAACTGACAGAAAGCACAGCTACTGCAGTTGTGCTCTCTGTCAGCGATTGCCGCCGATTGCCGGGAAATAGCTGTTAACGACCGGCTGTGACCCGGCGACTGACATCCGCAGCTGTGATAGGTGGGACAGGTAGGGCGGCGGCGCGCCTCGCGCGCCCCCTACCTGTTTACAAAACACACGTTTTAAAAGGTGCTTTTGCCCAGCCATGCCGCCGTATTTATACAGTGGCTGGGCGGCATGTGGTTAAGGTGGAGTTCCAGCTGTTTTTGTGTTTATTAAAAGTTAGCAGCTACAAAAACTGTAGCTGCTGACTTTTAATAAACACACACTTACGTGTCCAGGAGTCCACTGATTTACTTACCTGAGCCGTCTCTTCTTTCCTTCTTCTCTCCACAGTGCTGGCATCTCAACTCTGAGGACCAGGCTATAACAGCTTTCAGCTTCACAGCCGGGTGCCAAGTGCGCATGCGCGAGTCGCGCTGCGTATATTGAATGGTCCGGCAGTCTTCTGGGACCTGCAAAAGTTTCCAAAAGACTGTGGGAGGAAGGAGGGGGACAAACTTCCGGCTCACTTCACCACAGCAAACTGAGCCGGAAAAAAGTGGGCATGGGTACCTGTCAAAACCAGGTACCCGCTCCCCCCCAAAAGGTGTCAAAGATGGCAGTGGAGGGGGGAGGAGGCAAACAAGTGGAGCTTCCACTTTTTGGTGGAACTCCCCTTTAAGTAAGAGAAGATGATACATATAGCATTTACTTCCTGGAATCTGTCTGCCATTAGCTCAGGCATGCAGGCAGGAGGGCGTGCTTCAGAAAACACAGCAAACGCTGTACTCCTGCGCTTCGGGATGGACTCGGCTAGGGTTATGGTACCATCCAGATATCCTGGAAAATGCACTCCTTGCTGCCCTCAACGGACCGGTGGCTGTGTGGCTCTGAGGAAGAGGTTGAGACCTTGAAACGCGTTAGCCTGTTGGACGTCCAGGGCTCCATTTTTTTGCACTTATATACTATATGGACTGGATACCGCTGTTTAGTGTGATGTGCCTTTGACCTGTTTGCCTATTGTGAGTACGATACTTACTTTTTATCCTTCCAATACATTTTTTATGATAATGCAGTAGGCCGGTGAGCCCTCTGTTTGTTTTTCTTTGTATCCAGGAAGGCATGCTTAGCTGAGAAAGCCCCTCCTCCCGTCCTCCAAATGAAAGAAAAAAAACACCATGAGTGCTCTTGGGATATATGACATCATTTTATCTTAGACCAAAAACCAGGGAGCAAGTTAAGTTGATAGAGTTTAGTTTAAAAGCTAAAAAATGATTTATCAGCAGAACATGGAGTTAAAGGAAGTCTCCCCAACTGGACAATGATGGTAGAACAATCTTAACCTCCCTGGCGGTATTCCCGAGTGTAGCTCTGGGTAAAGTTTCAGTACCACAAGCGGTAACCCCGAGCTACACTCGGGAATACCCTGCAGAGTTGCTCCGGGATCTGTTCTTCTCTTACCTTGTCCTGCACTCCCGCGATGTCCCCCCTGCAGTGTCCCCGGCAATGTCCTCCGGTCGATGCCGGCATCTGTCATCTGGGTTCCGTTCCCTGCGATGTCAGGACGTACTGGACGTACGGGGGATGGAACTGGCGGGAAATGTTAAAATTTTAAAAGTGACATTCACTAAATTCACTAAAATCACATAGTATAACATTACTGTATCAAACCATTTCACATACATGTTCTCCGGAGTGCTTTGTCCTGTGCCCTGCCTGCATTTTTACTGTTTTCTCTGCCTTGAAACTGAGAAGCGTCCATGGCGTCCAAAAAGCATCCCTTTAGGTCAAAAGCGGTTTTAGACCAGCTAGAGAAAGCGATAGTAAATTAGAACCACTTGTAGAATTGAGTGATAATGACTCGTGGGGAAATTCGTCATCAGACACTGAAAATGATTTTGCGACTTTGCTCAGTGATGTGCGAACTTGGCGCTATATTTCAAATTTCAGTGTTTTTGGTTTGATTATATTATTAAATTAAATTTATTATTATATTATTTTTTATGTTTATTTATTAAATTAAAATTTATGATTTCGTGTTTCAAATTTTAACATACCCGGGATGTTTACTAGACTCTTGTTCGGACAGATTTCAGTGAGTTATTCCTAAAAATTACAGGCCTACAATAAAAAAAAATACATATTGCCATGCAAAAAATGTACCGCTTTGAGCACAGAAGTATGGACATAATCAGACCGCTAGGGAGGCTGCAAGGTGTTTTCAAGTATATGTAAACCTTCACTTTGTAAAACAACCCATTCCGTTTAAAATAGAAATGAAAGGCAAAACATTTGTGTATACTTATAAAAATCATTATATATAACATGTTTTCCCCCTTTTTTATAAGTGATCAATATATGTTGTACTTACCTGCTTTGTGAAATGGTTTTGCACAGAGCAGCTCCGATCCTTCTCAGGTTCCCCGACAACACTCCTGGTTCCTCCCCCCTGCTAAGTGCCCCAGTGCAAGCTCCTGAGCCCTGCTCTGTGTGTCTATAGCCACACCCTCCTCACTGGCTCACTGGCTGTGATTGACAGTAATAAGGATCAATGGGACCAATGAGGAGGGAGAGACACACATCTCTGGATATTAAAGGGTGTTGGGGGGGGAGAATGCATGATAGTAAAAAAACCTTCAGCCTTTAGAACTACTTTAATTTAAAAAAGTGGTCAGTGGATGGGAGGGTCTGGAGATGGACTATAAACTTTAGAGGGAAATTAAATAGAATGTCCAATAAACATTATTGTTAACTCTTAAAACTGCTGTCCATTATTCAGTTAGCCAAAATGCCAAATTCACACAGACATTGCTAATGACAAATAAAAGTGTCTGAATGTCAGGCTGCTTGGAAGAAAAATTAAACTATTGCAAATAGAATCACTGATAGGGATGAGAAAAACTGAATTTCCCTGATAATTGATCCAAAGTAGAAAGATTTAGTAGTCTATAAAAAAAAATGCTGTATGAATGTCTCAAACATTAGCACAGCTATCACGAATAATCCCCAGATTTTCCTAATTTGGTATTTCCTGTGATTGTCAGCTCAATCTAGTGGTCATATTGCAGTATTTTCCTGAGATATCTCAATCAGGAAATTAGTACTGCATTATGGCCACTAGATGGAGCTAACAATCACAGGAAATACAAAATTAGGCAAATTATGGGGATTTTTCGAGATAGCTCTATGAATGCTTGGGATATTGTCACAGCAAATTTTCTACAATTAGTCCCCTTAGTGTTTGGTGATTTTAGGGGTTAAATGTGCTTTAAATAGCTCCTGAGAGTTAATAGAGCTCTAAAAGTTGGACTTGTGCCAAAAAAACCACTCATTGTTATATATTTCATGTATAAAATGATTGCTGGGCGGTAGCTCTATTATCCTAGGAGGACATCATATAATGTCCTCCCAGGATCGTGCCTTGCGCGCCCCTCAGGCCGCACTCCGCTGCGATCTGTCACCCGATGTGTCCACCAGACACATCTGATGACAGATCACTGTACCCGCCTGCTGCCAGTACCATGTGATCACTGTGGCCAATCACAACAGATCATATGACAATTGTACACAATGAGAGGCTTTGATTCATGCCTTCCGTTGTGTACTATTGTAATGAGCTCTGTGATTGATCACAGTGAACACATTGTACAGACAGGGTTAATCACAGTCCATTTGTACCATGTGATTAAAGTCAATCACAACTAATCACAATAGTAAACACTGAGTGAATAGTTTTCATTGAGAAGAAAATGTTGCTTGTAACTGTAAAATTCAGTTATAGGCAATAAGTGTGTAAAACAAAATCCTGATCACCTCCCCAGAGTAGTACAGTGTTACTACAGTAACATTGTATTGCTCTGGTCACTGTATGTAAAAATTGTAAAAAAAAAAAAAAGAAAGAAAGTAATAAAAAAGAAAAAAAACCTAAAAAATTGTTTAACATTTTTTTTTAAATATTGTCACCAGTCAGTGTCCTTGATCAACACCACACCAGTTATATGATAGGGCTGAACTGCAATGGTGACATTGTGAAAAAAAAAAAAAATTTTTTATTAATTTTCCAAAAAAATTACAACTTCAAAAACTTACCATGCCTCTTACTAAATACCTTGGACTGTCTTCTTTCCAAAAAGGGGTCGCGTGAAATAAGAATAAGAAAGGAGATAGGCCATCAGTACATCAGGACTGATTGATTTTCAGATCTATATACCATAGTTTGCAGACTCTATAAGTTTCCAACAGACTAAATAATTTGCACTGATTTGGGTTTTTTTCTCACCAAAGAAATGTATCAGTGTACATTTTTGTGTAAATTTCTGAAGAATGATTAATTTATTTGCAAAATGTTTTAACAGAAACGTTTTTTTTTTTCTTTTTAATTTAGCAAAAAGTAAAAAAACCCCAGCGGTGATTAAATACCACCAAAAAAAGCTCTATTTGTGTTAAAAAAATTATAAAAATGTTGTTTGGGTACAGTGTTGCATGACTGTGTATTTGTCATTCAAAATGTGACAGTGCTGAAAACTGGAAATTGGCCTGGGAAGGAAGGGGGTAAAAGTTCTCGGTATTGAAGTGGTTAAAGAAAGAGAAAAAAACTGACAGTGGAAAAATGTAATAAAACCTTACTATTTAATATCAAATGTTGATAAGTTCACCCCACCCATCCTTAGTAACTGATCAAGAATGGTAATGTCAATATTGAGACATCTCATGACAGTTTTTTGGCACCAGAACATTTTTTTTTTTTTAGATTGCTTTGGGATCCAACACTTTACTGTAAGGCTTATCAAGCAAGCCTAATAGTATTGGTAGACAAACCAGCTTGAATTTATTAGTATGAACAACTGTAGTCGTGGATTCTTCACTACAGGAGATGACTAGAACTATACATGAGAGAAGGCACTAGCTAGAAAAGATGTATATTTACCTGCCCTTGTAAAGAGGCTCAACATCTCACAATCAAATCTGCTTTTCACAGAGCACAAGTGGTGACCTATGTTCATTTCATACTAGCCAGATGCTTATCAAGGATTCAATTTATTTTATCACAGCAAACCTTCCAAAAAGCAGCAAATAAAAGCCACTTAATCCAAGAATAACATATGAAAGAGAGGTTAATACTGCTTCAGAGCTTGGGAATACATTCGGCTTGCAGACTAGGAAGGCAAGGCAGGATAATGTTACTTTTATCCTACCATCAGCAGCAGCCTGCAGATCTGATGTAGAGATTGCAAGATGGAAACTAAAGGGGAAACCTTCATTACATGATGCGCAGTCATCATCAAATGTCCTCTACAAGAAGTCTTCAAACACTTTGATTTCATTGAAACATGTTTTTTTTTAGTGCCACTAACCAAATGTCAGTATTCATTTTCAGCATTCTGGGGGGCTAGAGGTGACATTTCCTTTATTTGCAGGTGATGTTGTTGATATGTGGCTGAGAATGATGAGATAGATGACCAAAAGATCCTCTAAACCCCAGGCAATGGTACTTTTGATTGTGTGTGCTTTGGGCTTTATTTGCTTTTCACAGTATCTGATAAATTCTTGAGATTGGGAGGAACAAAGACCTGAAGTTCTAAAAGTACCAGTGTGCTGACAACAAGCAATTGCTTTAACCAGCTAGTGTTAGGGGTTCTAGATGGTCACTCTTCTCAGTAGGACACCTGAGATGCTGACTGGGATCTTTCTTAGGACTCTGTGAATAGAGTCAGCTGGTCCTTATACATTTTTAAATTTTTGACTTGGAATCCTCTGTCTCCTTCCTATGACATGGCAGCATAAAGAAATTTATGAAATGGCAGCCTCCGGCCATGATTAGGGATGGACAAGATGGGGAATTTTAATTTCATCAACAAAGTCGGTTGCACTGCAATGGGGTCTACCAGAGCTTTGTTAATTAAACTCATGCCATACAGCAATGGGGTCTACCAGAGCTTTGTTAGTTAAACTCATGTCATACAGCAATGGGGTCTACCAGAGCTTTGTTAATTAAACTCATGTCATACAGCAATGGGGTCTACCAGAGCTTTGTTAATTAAACTCATGTCATACAGCAATGGGGTCTACCAGAGCTTTGTTAATTAAACTCATGTCATACAGCAATGGGATCTACCAAAGATTTGTTAATTAAACTCATGTCATACAGCAATGGGGTCTACCAGAGCTTTGTTAATTAAACTCATGTCATACAGCAATGGGGGTTTACCAAAGATTTGTTAATTAAACTCATGTCATACAGCAATGGGGTCTACCAGAAGCTTTGTTAATTAAACTCATGTCATACAGCAATGGGGTTTACCAAAGCTTTGTTAATTAAACTCATGTCATACAGCAATGGGGTCTACCAAAGATTTGTTAATTAAACTCATGTCATACAGCAATGGGGTCTACCAAAGATTTGTTAATTAAACTCATGTCATACAGCAATGGGGTCTACCAGAGCTTTGTTAATTAAACTCATGTCATACAGCAATGGAGTCTACCAAAGATTTGTTAATTAAACTCATGTCATACAGCAATGGGGTCTACCAGAGCTTTTTTATTTAAACTCATGTCATACAGCAATGGGGTCTACCAGAGCTTTGTTAATTAAACTCATGTCATACAGCAATGGGGTCTACCAAAGATTTGTTAATTAAACTCATGTCATACAGCAATGGGGTCTACCAGAGCTTTTTTTATT